CATACCTATTTCCCTACATTGTCAAAATTTATTTTATTTTTTGGAAAAAAAAAGGATAAAAACGCGAATTACAAAAAATAGCATAAAAAACACGTTTCATAAGACTTAAAGCACTCATTCATTAAAAAACTCGTGGCTTCGCCACTCGTTTTTCAACTTGAATTCGTGCATTTCAAGCGTGTCTTACGAAACTTGTTTTTTAATATACTATTCCCGACGATTACAAATATGTCAAAATTGACATTGACATTTTTAACCGGAAGTTTACCATAACTTCATTAATATTGAAGATAAATATGTCGTGTTTGTACTCATTTTAAAGGATTTTTAATAAAGATTACAAATATGTCAAAATTGAGGTTGACATTTTACACCTGAAGTTAGTCATCATATAATAGAAGTTTTATAACTGAAGTTAATGTAGTGTTAGTCACTTTTCCACACTTTCTTTTTATTTTTAACGTGTTTTTTTGGGTCATTTCATATTGATTTAAAAAAAATTGTCGATTTTTAAGCCACATGATAATTCTTGAATTTTTCCCAAGTTTCTTAATATTTTTTTTGTTAAAAAAGAGTGTGCTTAAGTTTTAACCTGTAAACTTGTAACACTTCGTCCTTAATTTCATTTTACAACTTTTTAAACTTTAATTTTGTAAATTTGTAACTAATAATCTGATTTCGACTTTGATATGTGATCGTTTTTAGCAAAACAAAAAGAAATATTAAGAAACTTGTTTGTAAAATGGGTAGGGTGAGGGATGTTAATCTATTTGTAGAGTCTCTGAAGATAGCTAAGGGTCGAAACTAGTTAGACTTAAATTTTATAGTACAAAATCAATCTGTAGATAATTTTCTTCGAAAATGTTTACACGAAACATCATTTTGACTCTAGTATTTGTGATTGAATTTATGCCACGACTTACAGAAACACTCTGTGATGGGTGTTATCAGTGTTCTGTGATAAAAATAGACAATCACCAAACAATTTTCAATAGTTTGAGCCTGTCTATTCTGAGAAGTCTTATATTTTTAGAGAGATGAAAACGAAAATCCCTTTTTTCTCAATATTATTCATTTGTCGTTTAGTCAAGTGATAAGTTAAAAATTAAACGTAGTCAGGAAAAATATTTCCATCCTATCTAATCTATATTATATAATTTTTGTTGGTGTTATAAATGTATGTTATTAATGTTAAAGTCGGGTGCACTCTAGTACATCACATTTATTATTTTTAACGTAAAATATTTTAGAAACCGTCATCACTCATATTTTTCTTTAGAAGGGATTTCAGATCGTGGTGGCAAATTCCCGCAGGGTCTCGATGACAATGCACGTCTCTCGTAGTTGGAGCCCAAGTCAAGGAGATTTCATACGACGGTCGCAACGTAAATAAACAAATACGTTATCCGTGGGAGGACATTTATAGCACAAAAGTTTCGGCGCGCCGCCGGTGGTTTTGTAGGGCTAGAAAACGTGGCAACGGCGACATTGCCAAGTCTTTATTGCTGCAGGATTTGCCGTCTTCGATTTGCTCTCCGGGGAGATTATTTGAGAACTCTTCGGTGTATACACGCACTTTCACAAGAAAATCTTAAAGAATTTTTTTGACATACAAATAAATACTATTACAATTTTACGTAATGAAAAGTTTCTTTAATGACTACTTCGGTTTTATTCTTAAAGGTTGATTCTCGGAAAATACAAAAATTTGTCACGTGATACATGATAATTCTAGTTATTCGCGAAATCGAACGCGTTGGCATGGTTATACCTTCATGCATTATGAATTGCAACCAATTTTACTTTCAAATCGATCGATTTTTCGAGGAAATTGAAGACTCTGTATTTAACGTCTTTTAATACAACAAGTTTTGTTCAAGTACAAGTAATGCAAGAAGTTTTATTAAGAAACTGTTGCCTTAAAATTGTTAAGAGCGTGTGTACATCCGTTTTGGGAGTCGGTAATGTAAGTTACAATGAAGAGAAAATGGGTCGGCGTTGCAGTGTTAGGGATAGTGGTGGTGCTCGGGGATGCGATGTTTTATGAAACCAACGTTGTTTAGAACGGGTCTAAAGCGGCAAAACCGCGCTTTAACCGGCGGCATTAAACGTCCCGACGCCGAACGGGCCAATTACGGTCCGCGCAGATGTTCGAGCAGCACCACCAGCAACAGCAGCGCGTCGGAGAGAAGGTCTGTTTCGCAATTACCGCCGAAAAACTAATTTCCCAAGGTCCGCTCTTTACGGTCGACGGCGCTTGGAAAAACGAGCGAGACGTCACGTGATCGCCGTCGGATCTGCGGATTTTCGGTCACTCTTAACGCTTTCCATTATCAAGTTTAATTAAAAGGGCCCCCGCACGGCCATTGATTGGACTGCGGGTCCGGTCTGAATCTTAATAGGCGCATTAAAACCCTGAAGTCCGCTTGTTATTCATATGCATATAGAAATATGCTAATAAAATATACCGCAAAGTTCGAGTTTTCAAAAAGCTTTTTATTAAAACTCACCTGTATATCGGAATTCCAGAACCGTATTGAAACCAAAAAACCATATAGACCTTATCGTGACCTGGTGGTGTAACTTCGCATGGTAAACTAACACTTTTTCCTTCGACCGCTTGTACATCTTGTGCCACAACAACTGCAACAAAAAAGAATGTAAACAATATAAAAAATAATGTAATTTTTTTTTCAATATTTTAACAATGGCTTCGCTACGGGATTCTGCGTAAGCGGCTCTCTTGGGGGACAAACGTAATACCTTTGAAAAGGTGCTTAAGGGGACAGTTCGTTAGTGAGCGTTGTTTACGGGAGAAATTTCGCATAAAACAACAATAGTTCGTTCTGAAGCAGATAAAGCTCATTAACCGTATTACGCCATGCGTCGTTTGCGTCTGCGTCGATGCAGTTCGACCGGGTGGGTTATGTACATATATTGGCTCAACGCAACACAACGGTAATTGTTACAGTCGATCACTTCGCCGTTATCTCAATCAATCGATTATCTGCACAGAGGAGTTGCAGTATGCAAACCAGCCTATTGTTTGTGGCGATAGTGAATTAACGCAAGCCACAATTAATTAAGGTATAATAACGGTGAAATTACAATTCAGAAAAATAACTTCTAACATTAATATTTTCACTTTCATATTTTTCGACGTTGCCTGAAAATATCCTCGGTGTTATAAAACAATAATCGTTCACCATTTACGATCGACGTAACGCCTTTTACATCCAAAAAGAAATCTTTCTTCGGTCCCATAAAATAAAATTCAAATGTCTCCAGTCTTTTCCCCTGGGGGCGGCGAGGGATATTATAGCCTATATTCCTTAGGGCACCGGCCCTCGTTTTATGCCCCTTACGTTGTCCTTTCCTGTGGGACAGGATTTCGCTTACCATATGCATGTAAATCCGCCTTCGAGCGCTTCCTTTTCTCTCACCGAACACTAAATTATTTAGGGGGTGTTTACGACCACTACTTACTCTCAAACATAATCATTTTTATAAAGTCAAATCAAACTATAGAATAGAATCTTGATATGTTCAATGTAAACTTAAAGGTGTGCCATATCCACACCGTTTTCTTAGCACAAGAAGATTGGGTCGATGTTCGACACGAGGAGGGAAGGTGGCAAATGGGTAAAATGGGCCCACTCTCCAGGAGGGCGGGAGCGCAAACTTTATCAAGACCAATAATCCATTTATCTGTTGTACGTCGTTAAAGCTACGGAAAATGCTACTACGTTTCTTCGCACGCGATAAATCATCGCGCGAAGTGTGCGTTTGATTTATGTACACGTTAAAGCTGAAGGTCGCAATTCCGCCATATAACATATAATTTATATATCTATATATATACGTGACGATCGCATTTTTAACGGCTGTCATCTGTTACTTGCGCCACGTTTACGTCTCAATGTAAAAAGGAATCGATCAATTTTTAGAGATATAGCTGATGTGTTTTTAATGCTTTTTTTCTTTAATAATGAAATATTAAACAGATGTTTAGGAATAATTAGGGCAACATTATTTAGGTCGTGTATATACTTAAATAATCGATTTGTAATTAGTATGTGTGGGAGGTGTGATGACAATGCGGGATTCCCCGCCTCTAGCACTTGTCCCTACAAATCACTAATTGTGTTTAATAGTGGCGCAGTCACCCATAATAATATACTACTATATATTAACAACCAAAAGAGTAATTCAATTTAATCCATTCGCATCATTCAGAAGAAATGACAAAGTCACTAGACTTTTTTTATTATACCGGGAATTTCAAAATGCAATATACAAAAATATATTTCTATAGAAACCAGGGTAACAATGTTTCTAATTCTAGGTCTAATGTTAGTTCTATTGACAATGGTAGGTAGCGCTAGTTGTATATTTGTATTAAATTAAAACTAGAACTAACACTAGACCTAGGCTAGAAACATTCGGGTTTATCCGTGCGCCTGAAGACTTTTCCAGCGACATTCTAGCAACGGAACTGATAGACCACGTCTTCCCAAAGTATTCTGCTTGTATTCTCGTTAAAAGTGGACAACTTCTACAGCGAGAAAGCACTTAGATCAAAATCATCAAATAGAAAAGTCTGAAGTCTCGAGTGAAGCTTGCAAGAATAGTATCTCGAATCTGAACAATATCAATAGAAACAGTATAAGACATCTATGACTCGTTTTCATCCACCAAATGACAAATATCAATGTTTAAGACTATTTCTGAAGGTACTGAGGAAGCAACTAGAATCATTAACAATTCGGTATAAATGATAGATTAATAATACGCATCCTTTAACCTATGTGAAGATAGATTCGACCGATGCCATTAGATAGGATTTTACATGTATAGTATTTTGATTATAACAAGAGAACCACTGAACCGATTTTGTTAAACAATGTCTCATTCAAACGCTAACTCCTTAGCCAACGAAAATGGAAATGCCCGATTCGAAATCTCTTTCGCTGCTATGCTTTAGTCAGTGGTTCTTTTTTAATAATGGTGTAAATTAACAGTTGTATTAAATTAGTTTTAAAAGAAAAACGCGATCAAACAATCAAGTTTAATTCAATTATTTTTGATTTTTTACTTTTTTCTTTATTTTTTGTTCTTTTACACTAAATGTTCTGTAGCTGATAGTAACTTACAATGTCCATTGTACATTATAATTTGGATTGTTTACTTTATTTTGGTTAAAACCTCTCAGATCACCTGACCTCACACCTTTAGATTCTTTTTATGGGGCAAAATCAAAAATGAGCTGTATAATACACCAGTAAAGTCTCGTGAGGTATTAGAAAATAAATCGAGTTAGAAATTGTATTACCTAAATATCTCCGCAGGAATAACGTCGAGTCGTTAGATCGACAATACGCAAGATGCAATTANTTGGCCATACTATCGCTGTACCAAATTTCAACAAAATCGGTGAGGGACAGTTCTGATACTTCCCTTGTTAGATCAAAATCATTAAATAGAAAAGTCTGAAGTCTCGAGTGAAGCTTGCAAGAATAGTATCTCGAATCTGGATAATATCAATCGAAACAGTATAGGACATCTATAACTCGTTTTCGACCACCAAATGATAAATATCAATGGTTAAGACTATTTCTGAAGGTAAATATTGAGGAAGCAACTAGAATCATTACCAATTCGGTATAAATGATAGATTAATAATACGCATCCTTTATCCTATGCGAAGTTAGCCCCCATTTTTCTAACCCTCATTAGAACTGAACCGATTTTGATAAACAATGTCTCATTCGAACGCTGACTCCTGAGCCAACGAAAGTGGAAATGCCCGATTCGAAATCTCTTTCGAATTACTTAGTAAGTACTTAGTACGATTGTTTAAACGACTCCGGTGACTTTACTACCTGAAAGTCTATCCCCAATTACATACAAAATATTTGTTTGTAAACGGCTGTTACTACTAGAAGACAAACTAATGCGAAAATGTTTGAAATATTCTACTAATCATAATAATGTATATAAACAAACGAACAAAGTTATAGACTGATTTAAAATGTATTTGTACTAAAACAGAAAATCTTTTTTTAATTTTTGATTTTAGTATTTCTACCTTTAATATAATTTATTATTGTTCTTACCACTTTTCTAGTCTTTTTCTTTTATTTTATAGTTTTCTTTTTTTAAATTTTATATTTTTAGCTGTATAATATAAATTTGCTTTAAAATGTTCATTATTTCAGGATGATATCTCAATTCGTTCTTGAGATACGATTTTTTTAAAATTTATATTTCATGGCACCAAAAATAAGGGATGATGCATAATCCAACGTTTTGGCTGCTTCGTTTTAATTATTTGTTGGGCACCTGATTCTTTTGCAAAAAGTGTTAAACATTGAAATTCGATTAGAGCGTTTTATTTTAGTAAAATGACGTAAGTTTTATTTGAAAGGTTTCTGAGAAAACGAGTAATTTTTTATTGAAAGGTTGAGTTTTAAAACCAAAAAACGATTTAAAACCGCTTCGCCCCGTCGTCTTTACATTTTTTGTTTATTCATCTCCAGTATTCCTTTTTCACACAATAAATTAAGGAGGGGATGTTTGGAAAACACATTTTAGTTGATATGCGGGCTTTTAAGAGTGATAAAGTAGTTTTGAAAAATAAAACTTATTACTTGAATTAAGTGATAAATACGTGCTATATTTATGCCGAGTGTTAGGTGATATTAGTGATGAGATATAGTTGAGATCATCGGATTGCTATTTTATGGATGTTAAAAGATATCGTATTAATTCATTTTTTTTGTCACAATAAATTAATTTATCTTTTCTTTCCAGCTGAGCTTCGAAGTAAAATCCAAGGGAAACAACATCCATAATATCGGATAATTCGCGATTTGAACGGTGTAATGTTGCCAGATAAAAACCGTTTGAACGCTACTCATTGGATTTGTGCTTGAAAAATGGTACCATTCAATAAATTTTTGCATTTTGTGCTTTAAAAAATTAAAAAAGTTTTAATTATCAACATTGTCAAAACATGAAATAATTTGAAATTGAGCCAAATAATACTAGTATAATCTAATTCAAGCTTTTTAATGGAAGAGTCTCTTCTTTTTGTATCAAATAAAATGATTTCTTTGGGAATTATTTGCTGCCAAATTATGTGGTATTTCAATTTAATCTTTTGCATATGATATATTTACTGATTTAAAAAGAATTGTTTATAGAAAAATAATCTTTACATTATCCCTCAACCAAGTTGGTGAGTGGATTGCCTAAGTTGCTGGTTGACACAATATCTATCCTTGAAATGATCTGAAACTCAAAAATCAAATGATATTCTTTTCTATATACTTCTTATCTTCTTTCTATATATTCGTATGAATCGTGATAACCAGATGTAAAAAGGATATTTCGAGAAAAATGCACTTACAGTTTCATGTTACGCCTTGTTAATTTAACCTTTATAACTTCTATATTCAGCCAGGCGCAAGCTTTGATTTGAGATATACAGGGTGATTCACATAAGAACCGACACAGAGCAGGGACATGTAGAGGACAATAAATTAAGATGATTTAGATTTTTTTAACCTTTTGGTGGATTTAATGCATTATTACTTCATTTCATGTGGAATTTAATTCTAAAACTTCTTTTACTCTTATTATTTTTTAAAA